AACCGTGAACAGGTTTACCTATCAGAGAGCAGCTGAATTGCAGAGGCTTTTCCAAACCCTCTTGGCTTGTTAGAAACCCCGTCATCCTCTCCCCCTACCTTCCTTGATCCCTTGCTGCTACCCCAGCATTTACCTGCAGTCAATGCATAAACCCAGGTCACTAGACAGGTGCACAACAGAACGAGCCATGATGGGCTAAGAGAATGTGTAGGGTGGGTGGCGGGCACCGGGAAACCCAGATCCTAGTCCCAACGCTGACCCTGCACCAGCTCACACTGTCCCCTGTAAAATGTGCCAGACACGGGTTAGTCAAGAACTTCAGATTAGGGCTTTGAGCTGACTTCAGGTCTCAACCCCGGCACTTACTAGCCGTGAGGTGTGGGTTAGTCCTGTACGGTCTCCACAGAGTGGACTGCGAGACTCCGATTCATTTGTCTCCAAAGAGCCCGGCAGAGCCATGCAGTGTACCTTGCCCCGTGTTGTCTAGGGCCCCCTGTATAGACAGCCACTTATTTCCACTAAGTCTAAGCGTCTCTGTGCTGAGGAGTCAGGCGGATCCCCATCCGCGTTCCTGCTGGCTCAGCGCTTGGCACGCACCACCCTCTTTCGCAAGGAAGACAGGATCCTTGCAGAGTGTGAGTGACAGTGGCCCACATGCAATTATTTTAATGCACAGCCCAGGATTTTTTGTTTCAGGTGGGTGTGTTCTCAGGACAGCCTTCCCTTTCTCATGCCCTTCGAACGGCACAGGGGAAAGAATCACATCCTGCAAACTCGCCCTTGCAAGCAGCAGCATCACACAGGCTCCTTCCAAGCAGGCCTGCGGTTCCTCTCTGAAGGCCGGGTGCCTGCCTCCTGCCGCAGGGGATGCACGGCCCAGCCCTAGCTGGGCCGTGCCAGCTGTGCCTGGCAGCACAGGGCTGGGCCTAGGTGTAGCCCTCTCGCCTCTTTGTCAGGCTTACTGCCCCCCGTCCACTTGAGGATGCTGAGGCTCCCAAGGGAGGACTGAGTTGCCCAAGGACGCACACAGCCAGTGAAGGGCACAGCTGGAATCCAGCCACGGCTGCTCTGTTGAGGCTGCTGGCTCCGCTCCAGCTGCCGTTCCATTGCTGGCTGTGAGACGTCGGTGGGGGCTGTGGTTCGGGTCACACAGGGTCTTGCTCCCCCCACTGCTGCGAGAGAGAGAGTTGGATTGGGAGACTGGTATTGAGCGGGTTCCAGGGAGAATTGCCACTGCTCATCCCCCCACCAGGAGACAGGGTGCTGCACATCTTTCTACATGGTAGGCCCTGGGGCCCCGGCAGAGTGAGGCTGAGAGAGGAGCTCTGCACACCCTGTTGCTTTTCTCGATGTCCTAGTCCATCTGGGCTGCTGTAACAAAGTGTCATAACCAGGTAAAACAGAAATGTACTTCTCCCCGCTAGGGAGCTGGGAAGTCAAAGGTCAAAGCATTGGAAGATTCTGCGCCCGTGAGGGCCCACTTGCTGGGTCACTGTGCCCTCGCGTGGCTCAAGGGGGCCCTTGGTGCTCTGGGCATTTTTAAAAAAAATTTTTATTTATTTTTATTGTATTTAAAAGATAGAGGGGGGCCAGCACTGTGGTGTAGTGGGTTAAGCTGCCACCTGCAGTGCCAGCATCCCATATGGGCACTGGTTCAAGTCCCAGCTGCTCCACTTCTGATCCAGCTCCCTGCTAATGTGCCTGGGAAAGCAGTGCAAGATGGCCCAGGTCTTGGGCTCCTGCACCCACATGGGAAACCTGGAAGAAGCTTCTGGTTCCTGGTTTTGGCCTGGCCCAGCTCCAGCCATTGTAGCCATTTGGGGAGTGAACAGGCAGATGGAAGGTTGGTCTCTCTCTCTCCCTCCTCTCCCTCCTTCCCTCTCTGCCTCTGCCTCTCTTCTGTAGCTCTGCTTTTCAAGTAAAATAAATAAATCTTTTTTTAAGATTTTTAAGATTTTTTTTAAGATTTATTTATTTATTTGAAAGAGTTACACAGAGAGAGGAGAGGCAGAGAGAGAGAGGGAGAGGGAGAGAGAGAGAGAGAGAGAGAGGGGTCTTCCATCTGCTGGTTCACTCCCCAGATGGCCGCAATGGCCGGAGCTGCACCGATCCAAAGCCAGGAGCCAGGAGCTTCCTCCAGGTCTCCCATGTAGGTGTAGGGGCCCAAGGATTTGGGCCATCTTCCACTGCTTTCCCACGCCATAGCAGAAAGCTGGACGGGAAGTGGAGCAGCTGGGACTTGAACCAGCGTACCCATATGGGATTCCCGTGCTTCAGGCCAGGGCATTAACCCACTGCGCCACAGTGCCGGCCCCAAATAAATAAATCTTAAAAAGAAAAAAAAGGTCGAGAGACATAGACAGAGGGATCATCTACCCGCTTGAGCCATCTGTGTGCTGCCTCCCAAGCTGTGCATCAGCAGCAGGAAGTGGGACTGGAAGCAGAGTGCGTCTCAGACCTGGGACGCAGGCATCCCAAGTGGCATCTTGACCACTGTGCCAAGTGATTTTTTTTTTAATAAGATCCCTCACCCCATTCAGGAGGGCTCTGCCCCCTTCACCTGATCACTCCCAAGGCCCCACCTCCCAGCGCCTTCCCTGCATTAGACTTGGGTTCCCATCCCCACAGCAGGAGGCAGTGAGAGTGTTAGAATCAGAGAGTGTGTGAAAAAGAAAGTTCCGGAACCCTGGCTTCTCCTGTGCTGTTATGTGGGCTCAGCTTGCACTTGCCCCCATCTGCTGCAGGGACCACTCCTGGCCTTGGGCACTCATCCTCTGCAGGCCCTGCCTTGGCGGCAGGCGCTGTGGCATAGCAGGTTAAGCCACCGCCTGTGACACCAGCATCCCATGTGGGTGCCCGTTTGTGTCCGGCTGCCCCGCTTCCAATCTAGCTCCCTGCTGTGACAGCCCAGCTGACGGGACCATCTGTCAGTCATCTGTGCCTTTTGTGAACATCTGCAAAACTTCTGCCCATACAGGGCCCTGAACACTGACCTCAGGTTCAAGGGACTCGGGAGCCAGGCCTCCAGGCCATCAGGGTTCCAAGCCTGCTTCTTTCTGCCCACTGTCTGCGAATCACAGAGTCTGTGCCTCCATTTTCCCGTCTGGAAAATGGGGCTGATAATAGTGCTTCCCCTATGGACTTGTTACCAGTGGTAAATAAATACACATTATTTATTAGTAATAGTTCTTCTGTGGTCATAATTAAGGATTCTTCACTCTGATCATGAGTAGTACTCAATATTAAAGAACTGGAGTCCTAAGAATAGATCTTAGCAAATACTGAGATAATCACTCATTTTCCCCGGATCTTCTTTTTCCACGCCTGTCTTCTCTCCAGACACATCAGACACTGTGTCCCCAAGGCCTCAGCTCTCAGCTGGGAATGACAGCTGGCTCATGAATGGCATTTCTGCTTTCAGCTTTGCCTCTCTCACCCCTCCCACATGCCCCCTCCATGACCAGCAGCCTGAGCTTAATACACCCCAGGGCCTGCCCCATGCATTAGGAACATGGGCCTCGTGGGCCACAGCCTCGCCCTGGCTTAGTGCTCCAGTGCCCTGTGCTCCAGCTGTAACACTCGCCTTCACACCTCTCCCCTCTGCCCCGGGCCCTGTCTCCCCAGGATCTCCTGCCCACCTGTGAGCCCTGGCACGGGCATCCCCTGCGACCCTCCTCTGTGCATTCCAGAGCTACCGTCTCTCCCATCCTCCTGCTGTGATTACGCTGTAGTCACTGCTGGTGGACACCCCCTCCACACTGCCCCCGAGCAAGCCATGGCCAGGCCCCAGTGCCACCCGCCCCTGGTCATCTCCCAGCCCAGTATACTGTGGGTGCTAAATAGTAAAAGCCAGCATTTATTGAGCACTTATCATGGGCTCTACACTATTGATGTGTATTTCACATATTAGCTTGTTTATTTTGCACAGCAGCTCCACGAGACAGTGTCACTCGGACTCCTGGCTGGAGAGAGAAACCATGCCAGCTGTTGAAACACAAAAATGTATCTTAAAAAATGAAAATTGGGGGCTGGATGTGGTGCCAGCATCCCGTATGGGCACTGGTTCATATTTCAGCTGCTGCACTTCCAATCCAGCTCCCTGCTAATGTGCCTGGGAAAGCAGCAGAGGATGGCCTAAGTGCTTGGGCCCCTCCACCCACGTGGGAGACCCAGATAAACCTTCTGGTTCCTGGAGTCAGCCTAGGCCAACGTTGGCCATTGTACCATTATTGCAGCCATTTGGGGAGTGATAGACGCTTCTCTCTCTCTCTCTCTCTCTCTCTCTCTCTCTCTGTGTGTGTGTGTGTGTGTGTGTCACTCTACCTTCTAAATAAATAAATCTTTAAAAAAAAAAGAAAATAGAAAATGACAGGAAATAGGAAGGAACCAGAGGGAAGATGGGGGGGTGAGGCCCAGCCCTCAGAGGCTGGTCGGGAGCCAGTTGCAGAGGCAGCAGCCGTGCAGAGACAGGAAGACAATGATGCTGGTTCTGAGTGCGGAGACACTGCACAGTGGGTGCAGCTGCTGCTCGGGGAAGGCAGTGCTCCTGCCGGGGCTAGGAAAGGGGACCAGGGTGCAGCTCCGCTCTCAGCAAGAGGCAGCAGCGGCGAGGAGCAGGTGTCTCCACCTCCTGCAGCCTCCCGGCCCCAGCAGCTCCCAGGGAGCAGCCGGCCGAGCAGAGAGAGAGAAGTGGGGGGGCGCAGAGTCCTGGCCTCAGACTCAGCAAGCAGGTTAGGAGCCAAAGAGGGTAATTTAATACCTGGCACAGACGAGGAAGCAGGTATGCTGATGTTAAGTGCCTTGCCCGAGATTAGGACTTCCTAGCGCAAGGTGCAGGTCTGAAACCAGGCGCCTGGTTTGTAGCCCTTGCTCTTGATCCTTCCTCCACAGATGTTGAGTGAGTGAGTGAGTGAGTGAGTGAGTGAGTGAGCAGAGGCACAGGTAACCCGGGACGGTACCGGGTGCCCCCCTGCCTCCCTGCCGCCCTGTTGCCCTACCAGGTCATTCACTGGAACTCTCCCAAGAAGCTGCGGGTGAAGAACAAGCACGTGGAGTTCTTCCGCAACCTCTACCTGACCTTCCTGGAGTACGACGGCAACCTCCTGAGGCGGGAGCTGTTCGGCTGCCCCAGCGAAGCTGACGTCAACAGCGAAAACGTAAGTGGCTCGCGGGGCTGCCGGGCTGGGGACAGCTGCTGTCTCCACTCGGCTGTTGAGGACCCCAGAGTGGGTCAGGCTCCAGGCAGGACTGAGATGAACAAGACGCCATCCGTGGGTGCCCAGATGCGGGAGCAGATAACCCGCGTGCCGATGGATGGCTGCTGCGGGGGCTGGAAGGGCACCCTTAGCCCAGCACGGCTGAAATCAGAGGGGTTTCCAGGACTGGCTAAGGTGCTGCTTGGGACACCACATCTCTATGGCAGTGCCTGGGTTTGAGTTTCTGTTCTACTTCTGAATCTAGCTCCCTGTAGGTGCACACCCTAGGAGGCAGCAGGTGATGGCTCAGGGACCTGGGTCCTTGCTCCCCACGTGGGAGACCCAGGTGGAGTTCCAAGCTCCTGGCTTTGGCCTGACCTCACCCAGCCCTGGTTTTGCTGTAGGTATTTGGGAAGTGAACCAGCAGGTGGAAGATCTCTCTCTCTCTCTTTCTCTTTCTCTCTGTCTCTGCCTTTCAGATAAAGAAGTTAAAAAAGCAATCATAATGAAAAGAAGTAAATTTGCAGGCAGGGGGAGCAGATCCAGGAGAGAAGCAGCAGATCCAGTGGCTCTCACAGCCAGGAGACCCCAGACTCATGGCATCTACATGGGAGACCCTGGGTTTTAGCCCAAGGCAGTGCAAGGGGTGGTACCAGAGGGGTGCTCACAAGTCACTGGATCCTTTAGGGGTCAGCCTGGGGCCAGAGGTGTTAGGTGCACACTCCCAGGTCTACCTGTCAGCTGCTCTTCTTTCTGGTGCTTTGCTCCGTGTGTTTTTTTTCTATGATGTAGCTTATTTGATGCTCATTTTAAAAAAAAAAAAAAAGAGCCCCTTTTAGGATTGAAGAGGTTGAAGCACAAAGAGGTGAAGCAAGTGGCCTATGGTCACACAAGGCGAGCAAGGAGCAGAGCAGAGCCTGGTTCTGGGTCGCACGGCTGCAGAGACGAGGCCCTGCGGCAGGCAGAGTCAGGCGTGCAGACCCAGGCTGACCTGGATTGGACTCTCACGCCTTCTCATTCATTCCTGTCTGTGTGACCTCAGGCAAGTCGCCCAGCCTCTCTGTGCTAGGGCATCGCAACGTTTATAGGTGTGTGCTGGGAGGCAGGAGACGCTGCAGGTGAGGCACCCAGATCAGAGACCGCTGTACGTCGGGTGCTCGGGGAATGCTTCTCTCCCTGCTCTCTCCTTGACCCTGCGCATCAAACATGGGTGTAATGGGTGCATTCATTCCACCCGCAGGCCTTGGCTGAGAGCTTCCTGCTTATTCTGAGCGTGCATGGGTGAGAAAGGATTGAGGTCCCGGTTCTCGGGGTCCTTATATTCCAGTGGACGATGCTGTTAGGAAGCGGGCAGCCTGTGGCAGCGGCTACCTAGGGATGGATTCATGAGCAGCTCCCGGGGTTTGAAGATCAGGGAGGATTTCGATGAGGAGGTGAAATCTCCTATGAGCACAAAGAACAAGGAAGACCCAGCTGCAGAAGGGCTAAGGAAGCACTTTCCAGGTAGAGGATGCAGTTGATGCAAAGGCCCTGGGGCAGGGAAGATTTGCTGTGAAGGACAGAAGGGTGGCCAGTGTGCCCAGGGGCTAGTGGGGCACGGTAGGCAGGAGCCAGGTTGATAGGAGACTATATGCAGGGGTGGAGTCCAAACTTTGATTTGTTAGGATTATTATGGTTTTATGCTGGTTCTGATGTCATGAGAGTTCTCTTAGGCTCCCAAGGGCACCAGAGGCACCTGTTGGAGGCCTGCAGGCATGCACCTACCCGGCCACATATCAGGATGATTCCAGCTGCCATGCCACCCAGCCTGCTGCTGTTCTGTCCCCAGTCACAGCAGAGTCCCTGCTAGCCCTGGCACCTCTGCGCCTCGCACTGGGCACCTCGCATTGTCCAGCTGTCTGCACCACCACTAAGCACTTGAACTCCGCAGAGGCCAGGAGGCACTTGGAGGCTCGACCAGCATGGTCCTCCTGGGCCTTGTCTGCCTCTTTGCTCAGTTCACGGCCTCAGTGTTCGAGTGTCCATTAGGCACTTTCTCCCAACGGCTCAGTGAACACTCTTCTCCTGTCTTCGCCCCGCTGTGGAGGGAGCTCAGCTGGAGAGGCGAGCAGGTGCAGCCGTCCGTGCACCACCCACAGCCACGAGTTCTGCCGCCTGCTGCTCGGCCTCGTGGGGCGCAGGCCTCCCTCTCTCCAGGACCCGTCCCCTGGGTACACCACCGTGGGGAGGACGTCCTCAGTGGTCTGTCTCGGAATCCCCGGCAGCATCTTGCCAGGCAGCATGTGGCACGTGGGCTTGAAATCAGAGCACAGCTCGGCCCCTACACCTTACATTGCACTCTGCAGCTCTTGGAGGTGCTGGGGAAAATGTCCATCCAGGACAGAGAGACAGGCCTCCCAGCCATCGTCCCAGCCTCCCTGCCCTGGACCGGCCTCCACGAGCCACACCCACTGCCCAGAGCGCCCAGTCCCCAGGTGTGTAACTAAAGGAACCCTTCCAGTCCCTGTCTGTGCCCCATACTGTTCCCATCAGTGCACCTGTGACTGTCCATCTTCTGTTAGATGCTTCCTGTGTTCATGCCTGGTTATTTTTCCCAAATGCAAGACCAAAACAGAAGAAGGTCCGGTTATAGACTTTGTGCTCTGTCTTCTGCACTTCCCTCCCTGAGCACAGAACCAAGCTCATAAGAAATATCTAGGGAACAAATGTGCAGTTAAGAGAGAGGGGTGAAGTACCAGGGAAAGGGTAGGGCGTGGGAAGAAATGAAGAGTTAGAGAACACACCGAGTGTTTATGAGCCGGAGTGTGGCCACGAGAGGAATGGGGGAAAGAATGAAACGGACGGAAAAGGACTGTGGCTGGAGCTTGGACCCAGACAAACCCTAGGAGTTTGGACTTTATTCTTTCAGCAGTAAGGAGTCACCAAACAGTCCCACTTGGTTTTGTCTGAGAGGCAAAGACAGAGGGACAGATAAACAGAGAAAGCAAAAGTCTCCATGCCCTGGATCCCTCTCCCAAAGCCTGCAGCGGCTACAGAGCTGAAGCCAGGTGTCAGGAACTCAACCCAGGGTTCCTGCACAGGTGGCAGGAAGCCAGGGCTTGAGTGCTTTCCAGGGTCTGCACCAGCAGGAAGCTGGAGGCAGGAGCCGGAGACAGGTGCTAAGCCCAGCCACACCGACTTGGGATGTGGCCATCCCTCCTGGCAGGTTAACCCCTGGGCCCAGTGCATGCCCCCAACCAAAGGGTTGTAATCATAATCAGATTTATGCTTGAGAACCATCAGTATAGAGAAGAGAGCAACAGGGGTAAGAAGGGAGGCAAGGAGACCAGCATCCAGGTGGTTGCCCCATCTCGGGCAAAAACACGGTCCTGGGGCTCTGCCCTTGAGCGGCACCCTGAGAACGGATTGTTTTGTGGCTGCTAGGAACAGGGGAGCAGCTGCAAATAGCACTCGTAAATCCAGACAACAGGCCCCTGCGCCCTGCTCCAGCCGGCGCCGCCCCTGGCAGGGCGGGCAGCCGTGGCAGGCACTGGGGCAAGCAGAGGTTGTGTGGACACAGCAGCTCTTCAAAGAGCTCCGCCACCCAGTCCTCCACAGCTTGTGCAGGAAACACAACGAGAGGGCAAGGGGACATCTGGGCTCCCAGGCCATTCACGCCGTGATGAGTGTGCACGTGGCGGTGGAATTGGAAGCAAGCAAGGCAGGAACATCATCGCTGGGCCGCAGAGCCCGGAGGGGAGCATGCTTTGAAGGCAGCGGCTAAGCCTGAAGACTCACTGTGCACCCAGCAGGCGTTCAGCAGAACAGTCGCCAGCCACAGTGGTGAGGACCCAGCGGGAGCCACTGCAGACTGAAGCCCAGCCGTCGTGTTCGTCTTGTGAGAGGTGCAGATGAGCAGGGACAGTAATGTCTTTTAGTGCCAGGATGGTGGTGGCACTTTGGGAACACACTAGAAGGGTGTTTTCTGTGCCTAGGGAAGAGAAGGTATATCAGAGAAGGCTTCCTGGAGGAAGGGAGATTTAAAGGATGAGTAAGTGTCACTCCCCGTCTTCGTGGGGGAACGACACTAAGCCCTGCCTAGGCTTCATATCCGAGTCACGGCACCATTATGTCGCTCCCCCTCTTCGTGGAGGAGCAACACAGGACCCTGCGCTGTTCTTTCGTCTGCTCGGCCCTCCCCGGGTTTTCTGCTGGTTCTTCCCGGGTTGGCTACTATCCCTTCCACCTCCGTGGAAGGGCAGTTCCCCCTGGCCACATTCCCCACTTCCGCAGGGGAGCGGCACACCGCCGGCCGGCTCTTCTCGGGGGCTGCACGGGTTCCCTTAGATGTTCCCCATAGATGTTCCCAGTACATGCCGTCTCTCTCCTCCTTTATAGTCCTCCTCTGCCAATCCCAACTCGGCTGCCCACACGCCGAGTACGCTGCTCTCCAATCAGGAGCAAGTCCTACAGTTTATTGGTTGAACTGGAGGCAGCTGTGCGGAAGCTGTTTACTTCTCTCCCAGCGCCATATTGTGGGAGAGCAGATGCATAGAATAAGTCTTAATTCCAGTAACTCAGTCTAGTCCGGTTGCTCCCCACAAGTAAGAGGAATGAGGGGGTCTGGAGGGTGGATTCAGTGGGAGGGAGAGAGCAGCAACAAGCCGTGGAGACCAGAGGGGACTATAGCCTGGTGCCTTCAGGGACTGTGGGTCTCAGATCCAATGAAGGCAGCATGAGAAGTGAAAAGGGGCTGCGTTTGTTGATTTTGTATCGTCTGTGTTGCCCTAGCAAGGAGGTTCTGGTGCTGATAACTGAATCCTTCTGTTTTCCATTACTACTGTGAACCTCTGGGGCTGTGGGTGACTTTGTAAAGGAGAGCGTTCGTGTCGCTCACAGTTCTGGAGGTTCAAGGGCAGCATGGCAGGTGCAGGTGATAGCACCAAGCTCGGGGGAATGTGTGCCAGGAGAGACCACATCTC